AAACATTTGTAATAATAATTTAAGATTTATATCACAAATAGTGTGGATTTTCTATATCAAAAGTTTACGTTTACAAAAATGTATATGAAAAAAAAAATGTTTGTTGGCAATGTTTGAAAATTGTTTATTATAAAAGGAAATTCACTTAAACTAGAAAATACTTTAACTATTATATAATAGTTGACATTTCTAATAAATATTCAAGACTCATTTCACGAATAGTGTTGATTTTTTTGAAACAAATTTCCCGTTCACAAAAATCTATATCAAAGAAAAAAGTGTTTAAAGAAAATGTATGAAAATTGCTTATTGCAAATGGAAATACATTTAGAAACAAAATACATTGACTGTTATGTAATAGTTGCGATTCCTAATAAAAATTGAAATCTCATTTTACGAATAGTGTTGAAAAAATAAACACATGGAAAATTACCTATTTACAAACATGTGTATAAAAGTAAAGTGTTTGGAGAAAACGTGTGTGTGTAAGTAGCTTATTGTGAGTGGAGATTGCCTTTAAAAAGAAAATAACGAATAATTCGCAGAACCGTCGAAGGTGTATTATTAACTCTTTATGAGGCACGTTGTATACATACATTATATTTTTTTTATATTATTATAAGTTAATCAATATGTGTTTTCCTCTCGTAAACACGGCGAAGAGCTTTTATACATCATTCACAAAAATAAACTCTCGATATAGAAAAAGAGAGAGAGAGAAAAAAATATGCCTCGACACATTTATTGATTCCTTTAAACGGCGATGCCGAAACCCTTCTTGCAGTTGTATAAATGTATTCTCATAATTACAACATTCTTATTTTTGCTTTTCAATAAGATTAGAATATTATATTATTACTAATTAGATTACATAATTACTAATCATATTATACAGATTGGCGCAATTGAACTGCAGCCAACTTAAAACTGCTATAACTTTTGAACCGATGGCAATGCTGTGTCCATATTTCGCCTGATGATAGCTGATTTTATTGTTTACAAACTTGAGGAAGCATTTTCATCTCAGTTTTTTTTTGAAAAATGGAATTCAAACGTAATTGTGCGATAGCCCAATTTTTGAGCGAAAAACCAAAAGTGGCTATTGTTAGAGCCCTCGAACACCTTAATGTAAATAAATCTTTCGTGTCTCGTTATAACAAAGGTAGTATTGTTACGAAATGCTGTTTTGGTGGTCGAAAAAGAACTACATCTGTGGTAGAAGTGGTTTGGAAAGTTAAGGCTTGAATTGAATGAAATCCGCGACACAGTGGAAGACAAATGACTTAAATGAGTTGGACATATCAAAAACAACCATGCAACAAATACTTAAAATCGAACTCAAAGTGAAGCCTTATAAGTTCCAAAAAGGACAAGATCTTACCGATGTTAAAAAAAAAACTAGACTGGATAGAGCGAAGGAGCTGTTGCGTTTTCACGAAAGCAGCCAATTGTCAAATATCGTCTTGTCTGATGAGAAAAATTTCCCAATTGAGAAATTCGTAAACAAACAAAATGATAGAATTTACTTAGAAGAAAATTTAGACATTCGAATGTCCACAAGAAGTCAAGTTTGTGGAAGTTTGGGAGGCTGTGACGGTAGATGGTCGCTCTTCGTTGGTGTTTTTGGACCGTGGCGTCAAGATTAATGAAATTATTTTCTGAGCACATTTTATGTTTTATACAAACATTAAATTTAAATACACAATCAATGAAAATGAATACAAATATAACTTGTAATCATTTTCATTGATTGTGTAACATAAACAATATAACATTTTCATTATCCTTTTATGTCTAAAGTTTTCTCACTTAAAACTTAGATTAAAACAAATTAAACAAAGATATTATAAGAAAATATTGTCTTTAAATTCTTTAGAAATAAATCATTTAATAGATTATCACATAAATTATTTCTTTAATCTGTTTTTTTAAACAAATATTTTGTGATTTAATTTTTAGTATTTTACAGTTTTCTCTTAAAATTGTTATATTTTAGAAAAAACAACAAATATTACATATCATTTACGAAACATTTTAGAGTTTATTCAATGAAATTAATGAAGCAAGTAACCCTTTTCTTTATTTACTTAAATAAGGTATTGATTTTCAATTATATCGATGAAAATTCAAGTCTTACATTTTCATTATCCTAAAACAATAATATCTTTTTTATCTGTCTAGAGTTTTCTCACTTAAATATTAATCACTGAACCAAATTGTTTCATGTAATATTAATTAGCAAAAACTACTAAAACAAATTAAACAAAGATGTTACAAGTTATATTATACAAAAAAAATGAAAATATTGTCTTTAAATGAAACAAATATTTTGTGATTTAATTTTTAGTATTTTACAGTTTTCTCTTAAAATTGTTATATTTTAGAAAAAAACAACAAATATTACATAACATTTACGAAACATTAGAGTTTATTCAATGAAATTAATGAAGCAAGTAACACTTTTCCTTTTTTGTACTTAAATAAGGTATTGATTTTCAATTATATCGATGAAAATTCAAGTCTTACATTTTCATTATCCTAAAACAATAATATCTTTTTTTTCTGTCTAGAGTTTTCTCACTTAAATATTAATCACTGAACCGAATTGTTTCATGTAATATTAATTAACAAAAACTACTGAAACAAATTAAACAAAGATGTTACAAGTTATACAAAAAAAATTGAAAATATTATCTTTAAATTAAACAAATATTTTGTGATTTAATTTTTAGTATTTTACAGTTTTCTCTTAAAATTGGTTATATTTTAGAAATAACAATAAATATTACATAACATTTACGATTATTCAATAAAATTAATGAAGCAAGTAACACTTTTCATTTTTTACTTAAATAAGGTATTGATTTTCAATTATATCGATGGAAATTCAAGTCTTACATTTTCATTATCCTAAAACAATAGTATCTTTTTTATCTGTCTAGAGTTTTCTCACTTAAATATTGATAACAAAGCCAAATTGCTTTGTGATTAATTACTGAATTGCGTATTGATTCGAAGAAGATTGTAGATGAAATGAGCGTGGAGACAAAAATAATAATATACGATGTATATACATTAAGTGACAGCTTAATGCCTCGACCTTCGGAACTTTACACGACCGACCTAATAATATATTTCATTAATAAACTTTTCAATTGAAGCTTGTCCTTTATTACAAAATAACGTAATAAATCACCAGAAGAGACGTGATCATACATTTAATTTGATAAAACAAAGAGACGAGAATTTAAAATATTTATGTTTTGTTTTGTTTTTTTGCAGAGCTTTCCTGAGGATTCTGTGCGTGTGCTGTCCTCGGGCGATCAGACGCAAATACCAGCCGGCTTTCAGGAGTAAACCAAGCCAGGTAAATAATTCACGACGGGACGAAGAAAATGGATGAATGTCCGTTTCGTTTTGCGGCCTGAATTTTCTCATTTATGTATTTATAGGAGTGAAGCGGGTCTGGCTAATTTGCGTTACGTGAGTTTTGGTTTGAAAATTGAAGCGAAATGATTGCAAATCGCATGAGAGACGAAAAAATTTACAAATTAATAATTATCAAGAGAATAACGCATTGTGATATGAGATGAGGCATGAATTTTGGTTTTTTTTTTTGTAAATTTATTTGTTTAAAGCTGTAATTGAAAGATTGATGGAAATGCGCATTTAACAGTTAAATGAACATAAAAAGAGTGATTTATCGCGCGTTTCGGAATGACCACCAAGGACACCCTTTTTATTACCCTGTTTTGCTAACAACCCCCCTCAATGACTTTAAATCAAACCGATACAAGAAAAAAAAAGTGTGATTTTGAAAGGGTTGATTCATTCAAATCTATTAGAGCGAAATTCTCTTTGTTATCACTCATGTAATTAGACTAACTTTATTTGGACAATGAAAAGTACCGCGTTTTCTTCACTTTTTAATTGTCTTTGTCTGAATATAAATAGGGTTTGCCTTAAGCCTAAATATAGCTGGAAACGCTGAGGGGATTGAATCAAAATCGATGCGAAAATTTTGTATATGCGAAACCGCTCATTCCGTTGAGTAATCTTAAACTTGATTATGTCCGGGAGGGCGCATTCCCTTCCAATATTTTTACGATATTTCGTTAAACCCATCCTCGCGTATTATGCACCCTTTGTTTAATAATCCGTCGAACATTTCATTTACTGAAGGTAGGGTTTAATTTACAGCTGAAATCCAATTTCAAATTGATTATTTTCATCTGCTTTTTCATTACGTTTACATAAAACTACTGTTATCATAATACATAAACTATATAACTTAAAATTTTACTTTGTTTTGATCAGTTTGCTCATTCTTTTCTACCTATTACTTAATCAAATCAAAGCAAAGGTAACATTTAGCTTGAAATACCAATCAAATAGAAATTTGAAAATTAATTGTAAAATTAAAGATTGGAATTATATTTAAACGATCCATCAAGACATAATTTAGTTAGGATAAAGAACAAAGGATAAAATCAGTATTAAGATAGGAAGATTTTGATGGGTAATCTGATGTAATGACCGGAAAGTTTTCAGTCGAATATCAACCATTAAAAGAAATCCGACATCGTTACAGTTATCTTGAATGAAATCTTCTACCAGACAAGAAGTAAATGAAAATCTAACAGTTTCAATTTATTGCTTTAATTCTTGAAAAAAAAAATTTTCAACTTAATTTCTTTAACTGAATCGAATGAATTTTTATATAATTTTATTTGTGTATTATGAATTCAAAATGAAATTTTTATGATTGTTCACTTTACAATCAAATCAAAGGAAAGGTAAAATTTGCTTGAAAATAAAGATTGTAATTATATTTAAACGATCCATCAAGACAAATTAGTTAGGATAAAGAAGAAAGGACAAAATCAGTAATAAGATAGGAAGATTTTGATGGGTAATCTGATGTAATGACCGGAAAGTTTTCAGTCGAATATCAACCATTAAAAGAAACCCGACATCATTACAATTATCTTGAATCAAATCTTCTACCAGACAAGAAGAAAAATGAATTTAACAGTTTCAATTTATTGCTTTAATTCTTGAAAAAAAAACTTTCAACTTAATTTCTTTAACTGAATCGAATGAATTTTTATATATATTTTTTTTGTGTATTATGAATTCAAAATGAAATTCTTATGATTGTTCACTTTACAATCAAATCAAAGGAAAGGTAAAATTTGCTTGAAATTAAAGATTGGAATTATATTTAAACGATCCATCAAGACAAAATTTATTTAGGATAAAGAAGAAAGGACAAGATCAGTAATAAGTTTTGGAAGATTTTGATGGGTAATCTGATGTAATAACCGGAAAGTTTTCAGTCGAATATCAACCATTAAAAGAAACCCGACATCATTACAATTATCTTGAATCAAATCTTCTATCAGACAAGAAGAAAAATGAATTAACAGTTTCAATTTATTGCTTTAATTCTTGAAAAAAAAAAACTTTTCAACTTAATTTCTTTAACTAAATCGAATTAATTTTTATATAATTTTTTTTGTGTATTATAAATGCAAAATGAAATTTTTATGATTCTTCACTTTACAATCAAATCAAAGGAAAGGTAAAATTTGCTTGAAATTAAAGATTGGAATTATATTTAAACGATCCATCAAGACAAAATTTAGTTAGGATAAAGAAGAAAGGACAAGATCAGTAATAAGTTTTGGAAGATTTTGATGGGTAATCTGATGTAATGACCGAAAAGTTTTCAGTCGAATATCAACCATTAAAAGAAATTCGACATCATTACAGTTATCTTGAATTAAATCTTCTATCAGACAAGAAGAAAAATGAATTTAACAGTTTCAATTTATTGCTTTAATTCTTGAAAAAAAAACTTTTCAACTTAATTTCTTTAACTGAATCGAATTAATTTTTATATATTTTTTTTTGTGTATTATGAATTCAAAATGAAATTTTTATGATTGTTCACTTTACAATTTAATATTGTCAAAATCCTATTTATTGGGTAAAAGTAAAAAGTTCTGAGCGTTTTGTCCCATACATAGAGCATCATCTTAAGACCTTATGCAAATGGTTCTAAACGGTTTTCTGGCTAATCTTCAGTTCCTGGACAATGGAATAAGTGCTGGCATGTTGGTCCTACTCGACGATTTCCATTTGTACTGAAGAGTGCATCGAATTTTCTCTTTTTTTTACCTCAATTTTGGAACGTTCTAAAACACAACTGGATTCACTAAACACAAAACTATCCTAGAACTTTTTTTAAAGCGTTAAGTCGCAGTATAGAATGACAAGATGTAGAACGTATACATCGCTCAGAACTTATTACTTCAGCCAATATTTAGAAAATGTCATCTCAATTCTCATTTCATCATTTTTGTTTTATTATTTGTATTATTTCTGTGTATGAAACTAGAGAATGCATTTTACCTTTAGGACAAAAAAAAAAGGATTGGTACAAACAAATTCCAAAATGTAGGAATTACTAGCATAAGAATAAAAATGGGCATTAATGAATGAAATTCGCATCAAGTTTGACCTCTGGCACGTATTTTTTTCTTTGTTTTCTATACCGGAGACAATGAGGATCATTTTTTGTTGCGTTACTTTTTATTTTTATCTTTGGGAAACGAACGTATGCCACCTTTTATGTGTCCGTCCGTCCGTTTCTACTCTCATTGTACTTCCTCTCATTTCAACAAATATTGTTTTTTCTGCGTACGTTTGCAATGAATCCCCCCGAATGTGTGCGCGATTGTTGTGTATTCATTTCTGTGTTGAACTGTTTTCAGAGGTTCTCGTCGCAGCGTTATTACTCTTCGTACAATCTGCGACACAACTCTTGCGAGCAGACATACATTTAGCACACGGCCCCGCCTCGGCCTAACAACATCGTGTCCAGTCTTCCATTCACCAGATCCACTTCACTTTTCTATTTCTAAATCCACAACAACAACAAAAAAAATATATATATAAGTATAACAGATAATTCATCCTTCTACCAACACCACACCCCATCCATCCATCTCCGAGCTTAACATAGGGTCTGTACGATAGACCAATAAGCGAATCCCAAAGTACTTGCATTAAAAAAAATATATATATTTGGCCAAGTGTGCTCAAGGTATGTTGAAACGACGGACCCGCATTTATTTTAATACCGAACGTTGCTGTTGTTGTTTGTTGTTGTTGTTCTTGTTGTATTTATTTGTTTTTTTTTTCGCTGTGTATATCTCTCCTTTTCTCTCTTTTTTATATACGTTCTGTCTGTAATTCTCTCACACTCTGGGATATAAAAGTGTAATAGCAGCGCTTCAACTTCGGGGCACCATTTCTGTACATACACGTGTGACTTATCTCTTCGCATGACATTAGTTTTTATTTCTACTTTTTACTCATACTCGTTTTTTTTTTTAATATCTAATCCTTACATGACAACTGTATAATACATAGTTACCCACTGCATCGTATCATTAAGCCTAATACCAGCAAGTTAGATTAATACAATTTTGCACACAGTCAACGTGTTAATTAACTTGCTGATATGTGTACCGATCATTCGAGTCCTGCAAGTGAATAAATAATGTAAAAAAAAGTCCTGTTTTCTCTCCCCTCTATATAGAGATTCGCGTCAAAAGAATCGTAAACTCAATCAATCGACCGAAAAGTTTCCTTTTTTTTTATGCGTATTTAATTTAATTTTTTCCTCATCCTGAAGCGGTAATTACACGAGCAATCGCTCAAAGCAATCCCGTCGAACGAAGATCATAAACTTCCTATTTATTTATTTATTTACTTTTCTCCTCTGCTTGCGTTATAAGTGAGGAAGCAGCGGTTGCTAATACCACGGAGAGGAACAAATTTACCAAGGATTTGCTGCGCGGAAAATCCATACACACATCCAATCCCATTTTCTTTTTACTCTCTTCGGGGCTTTCCCTCACTCGTCTATATATATCATTTACACCGCGGATTACGGATGACCGAATGCCTTTTTATTACCACCCTCGACGGCATCATCCCATCATCCGTAATCTCGGCCCGACTATTTACCATTTACTTCTGATTGGACCCGAACGTGATTGTTCTTAGCTCGCACCTTGTCTCGCACGTTGTGTACCTCTTCCATCCGCACGTCTTCGCATCCGAAACTAATGCGTCTCACCGTATGCTTTTTCAGTACTTCAATTCGCACAATGTCATGGAGGCGACGCCGAGCAACATGAGCTACTCTTCGGCGAGCGGACAGCACGAACTGTACACGCTGTGACCGGGATCTAGGTCCGGGTCCAGCAGGGCTTCGGGCCGTTCCACCTCGCACAGGGTCGTCATGAGGTCCTGCTCACCGACGCCCAGTACTTTACGCATGTCGTAACGATTGCCCAAACTTGTACTACTACTACTAATATTACTCAACAGTGCTCAAAACGCGCTCCAGAAGCTTTACAAGAGAAAAAAAACAGTTTACCTTCTTCCTTCCTGTTTCGTTCTTTCGATGTACCCAACCCAAACATGCTGAACGCTTCGATTCAACATCCTCAGACTTGACAAGAAAACTAATAATACGCACATTGTTTCCTTCTCGTTCATAATACCACATTTTCAGCTCCCTATTTACTTGAACATCTGTGATAAATAACGTTAGGTTTTTAATGGCTAAGACATTTTTATGGATCTCACTAGGAGCGTCGAGATTTTTATTACGTAATTATATAAACTATTATTACCACTACTACTATTATTACATACAACATACTACTAAGAATGTAAATACAAAGTAAGCAGATCAACAACAAGAAATGTACTAGTATTTATGTACTTTTATAATCTCGTAATTGTAACTACTCGTAGGACTCTTGTTACGTATTCTCTATTTAAGTTATGAATCTTTCTCAGCGGGAAAAGTGAAGCGCATTATTGATGTTTGATATCATTATTATCGTTACTTAATATCTAGTTGCAAATCTGTATAAAATAAATAAATCTATTTAATTGTTGTAAATGTCTGTACATAAATTACATATTATTATGGAAAAGTAAAGATAAATAAAGCCCCCTTACGCAGTAATATATATATGTATATGTATATTGTGTAACACTCCTTTAGTGATGATTATTATATATTATATAACTGTCAGTTATTTCGTTGAATATTCCCTAGAGTCACATAATAATGTCATTGTTTCGTTTGTAAATAATTAAACAGAATTTAATAATTATAAAGATTAATAAAAAGAAACGTACCAATTCGTCTAAAATTGTGTATTTTATTTATTTATACCTAAACATTATCAAATAATATTAGTAGCAGTGAGCAATTTTCCAAATATCTGCTAAAGTATAGATACATTCCTGTGCTCTTATCCACATTGCTGCAATACGCGTTCAAAGTTGAAAAATTTAAATTAGAACCTTTGAAAAAGCAGTGTTTTCACATTTCATTGATTTTCTCGAATACTATAATAGATGGAATGAATCCAAAAGATGCATATGAAAGCTGAATGTTTGGGGAATGTAACGACTATCGACATATTACTGTGGTTTTAGCCGTTTGGCTGTAATTCGTGGTCAAAATTTAAAAAATGCTCGAAAAAGCAGTGTTTTCACATTTCACTGATTTTCTCAGAAATTATAATAGATGGAATGTATCCCAAAGATGTATATGAAAGCTGAATTTTTGGGGAATGCAGCAAGTATAGATACATTCCTGTGTTCTTATCCATATTGCTGTAATGCGCGTTCTTTTATGAAAGGGGAGGCGCCAAATGATTACATACTTTTGAGGGAGGCGTAGTAACTTCAAGTTTGGAAACCACTGATCTAAAACAATAACAATTAGAATTAGAAAAACAGAAGATTTTCAAACCAATTAAACACACATAATTAAATTAAATTAACAGTATTTCTCAAGCATGATTCGCATTTTTCCATATCACCAATTATAATTGATCAAGGCTTATGACCCAATTGTTAAACGGCTTCTCAGATAATCTCCGCATTTGCAAGGAAAACTAAACGAAAAAAATAAAAAAAATAAATAGTTACGATTCTGAAAACAATATCTGCTATATATTGGAATATACAAGCTTATCAAATCTGACCGATTGCAAAGCAATAAAGCAAGCGCACGATTTACAATTGCTTGTAGATGAGATAGTTCAGGTTCAACGTGTTTCATTAACGAAACACCTCCAATACCCTTGACTTTTTCCTCCATTAAATCACCGCAATTAACTTCACCTCCAGAGATTGCAAAGCAACTCCCGTAATCCCACCGAAATTCCTTCTGGAAATTCCGAGATTACCATCAGCGCAAATAGCAGCGTTTATTACGTAACACCTTCTAGCCTCGGTCGCTATCGCCTCGACTGGATCTCAGTTGGAAATGTCAAATATGCGGCAGCGTTTATTTGTTTTTTGAATAAAATAAATTCAAGTGATAATTGTAAATTTTGTAGATCTTTCAATGGAAGGATGAAGAAGAGAAGAGTATGTTATGAGAGAGAATAAAATAAAAATAATAGAAAAATAAGGATCGTGCAGTGCATGTAACCACTAAGCGGCCAAGGAAGAGTGTCTTTGGCTTTCTAACATACTTTATACGTACGAAGTGTGTATTTGTTTATTTCCCCATAATACGTACCATAAATTCGCACGTGGAAAGAGAGAAGAACGCTTTTAATATTCCTCGTTATTCGACGATGCGAACCAGCACACTTTATTATATGTTCTCTTCCTCTACGTTCCTTCTTCTTCCTTCATCCTTCGAATTATGGTCATAGCTATATCGAGGATTATCAGAGTAACTCTTCTTCGTTCCTGGATATTACCTATACCTAACTTTATTTCATTGCATCTACATAGCATATATATCCTCTCCAACATTATTACTGGTTATCCATATTTGTTAGGAGTTATAACCTTAACATATGACTTCTATAACAAGATAAATGAAGAAATCTTCCAAAAGGCGCACAAAGCTAAGACAATCTACTTCTAAATTTAATAAACTTTGAGAAAATTATATTTTTTAGTAATACTTAATTGCATAATATTTTCAATTTAGAGTGTAGTAATTCTACATAAAAGCTATTACAAATAAAATATTGTTAATTGCGTTGCATAATGATAGCAAATGTCCTGCGTTTTTGAGTAAAGAGGATTGACATTATTGCAATATATCACCAGAGTTTGACTTTTCCATAAAGCACTTACTTAAGTTCTTAACACAGTTTCGAAGTGGATGGAGACTTAGCACAGATTCCAAATTAGTTCCGATAATCGAAAAGGTTCGTGTTGCACCAAAAGCAAAACAAAAATCTTAAATAAACTTTAAAGCCTCGTAAAATAGTAATAAACGCTGTAGACGAGAAAATAAAATAAAAATAAGAAACGAAACGCTTAGCTGTGAAATAATGTTCGAAGTCTGATGCATCGCTAATGAAGCGCAAATATATTAAAAACGTCCATAAAAAAAAATGGAAGAAGATGAGAGTGTCCTTCGTGCTCGAAGCAAATAGTTCTCTCGTCTCTCCCATAAACATTTCTTTTCCTCTTCTTCTCATTTTTCGTGCCCGGATAGAGGTGATAATTAAATCACGGACGCAAACAGATATAAAAACTCTACAGAGTCGGTCTTTTGTTGTTCCTCGCCTCTTCGTAATTATCGTACGCTGTGTATGTATTGAAGAAGACGACACAAAGTTCACGTTCCTGAAGAACAGCGCTGGTCGATCACGTATCGATCGATCGCTGATTGATGATCGCACCTTAATTAATATTGCCGTACGCGAAGGAATTGAAAAGGAACAAGAAGGAAACAATGGCGTAATCTCCATCTCCGTGCAATCTTGATCATAAGGAAAGCAAGTCGTTTTTTATTTTCTTCTTCTTTCTTTCAAGTGCATGTATACCTTTTCTCCAAGGTCAACGGACAGCGGATCTTGAAAGCGAATTGCGCCACAACTGGAACGACCATTTAATTTCACATTTAGGAAACAAATGTAAAAGAAAAAGAGTACATTCAAATGAGGTTTTTATGATGAATAATGTATGCGAGATAAATCTTGGATGAGAATAAAATAGGAGCAATTTAGGAATTAGTATGCGTAAAGCGAATTGGGGTGGTTTGCTTCATCATTATCTAAGATGGCACGGTTTTCTCTTTTGTTTCGAAGCGTTGCTATGGTTACATGGTAATAAATTGGTTGGCGGCGTGGACGGATGGACGCCCACGATCATTAGCATATTTCCTAACATAACTAACTTGAAAAACACCATGTAAATACGGGCTTCGTCCGCGTCGGACACGTGTTTTATTTATCGCGCATTGTATCCTATGGTAAGTGAGCTAAGATGAGGGAGGTTTCGCGAAGATTCCACCACAACGAATCGATCTTACGTGACTCAGGTTCTTCTCTCGTAAAATTGACACGAATTGACGACCGATTTTAACCTACCTGTAACCATGGTTATAGTTACAATAAAACCTCCATTTTCTTCAAGAAACAATCCTATAAAGCCACCTAAGACTTTTATTGTGTTGCTTAAATACAGATTAGAGTAGTAGTAGTTATAAGGGGGTGGCGTACATGCGAGCTTGAGCTCATTTAGCCAGAAACATTTTAAATATATACAAGGTTACAGTTAAAAAAAAATTAGTTAACTTAATGCTAGCTGCAAAAAAAAGAAAATGGTTGGGGTTAGTTGTCAGAGTTTGGTGGGCGGTGGTTTAGTAGACGAAGGTTTGGGTCTGGGTAGAGGAACATGGGTTTGATGGTGTTTAGAAAGTGGGTTATGTCAGGATTGTCGGATTTTGTTTTTGAGTTTGCTGGAGGAGATTGGTAGACGGGCGTAAAGGGTGCGGGTGTGGTGATTCAGGAAGAATGTTTTGGAGGCATGTCGGCCTTGGAGTTTATGGATAAAATCAGGGATTTTGGGGAGTGAGGTTAGGTCGTGAAGTTGCGCTCTGGGATGAAGGTAAAGTAGTTTGAGGATTTTGCGGATGTTTCTCTTAAAGCCGTAGATTCGCTGAAGGATTGATTGGGAAGCAATTTAGAGGATGGTGGAGTGATAGGTGATGGCGGGACGGATGAAGGTTTTGTAGGTGTGGAACAGGGTTTTGGGATAATCCACCTAAGACCATTCACAATTGTATGTATACTTATTCACTTTAAAATTTCGACAATTTTCTCTCATAAAAAAACTTACGTAATGTGTTGTAATTGACTCAAATCCAATACAACATGTAGTAAACATGGTTACAAATCTTCTGTTTTACTTCTTTACTTATATAATAACAAAACTATATTTAACATTTTGACGATTTCTCGACAATACAAATTCACTATTTTTACTTCTCTACTTACATAATTTTTACGTTTCTCTTAAAGCCGTAGATTCGCTGAAGGATTGATTGGGAAGCAATTGAGAGGATGGCGGAGAGATAGGTGGGACGGTTAAAGGTTTTGTAGGTGTGAAACAGGGTTTTGGGATAATCCACCTAAGACCATTCACAATTTTATGTATACTTATTAACTGTAAAATTTCGACAATTTTCTCTCATAAAAACTTACATAATGTGTTGTAATTGACTCAAATCCCATACAACATGTAGTAAACATGGTTACAAATCTTCTGTTTTACTTCTTTACTTATATAATAACAAAACTATATTTAATATTTCTCGACGAAACAAATTCACTATTTTTACTTCTCTACTTACATAATTTTATAAATGTACTTAATTAATTTTTTGTTAACGATTTCCGTTGTCGACACAAAAAACAAAAAAAAAAGGTTGGGAAACGCCAGCCAGTAAATTTAATTTGACTCTTGACTCCCATTAATTTTCGGCATTCCATGCAGCCGGATTTTCGGAGCGTAAATTCAAGAGGAAAGTAACGTAACCGATAAATTGTACGCATTTCTTCTCGGAAAACGAACGAAAGCTGGGAAAATAAATCATTTTCTCTTATATTTA